TATTTAATAAAAAAAATCTATTTGTATATATATATATATATATATATATATATATATATATAAATTATGAGTAAATAAATAAATAAAAAAATAAATATAAATAAATATGTATATAGTGTTTATATATATCAGACGGGGGTCTGATCGTGTGACGTGCGTGTTTGCAGGTTTCTTATGTGAAGGCTATAGACGTCTGGATGGCGGTGTGTTTGCTGTTCGTCTTCGCCGCTCTGCTGGAATACGCCGGTGTCAACTTCGTCTCCAGACAGCAGAAGGAGTTTCTGCGGCTCAGACGAAGACAAAGACGAAATCAAAAGGTACTAAAACATGGTGCATTTGTAACTGTGGCTTTACAGGTTTCAAGCATCTTTAGTTTGAAGACCAGAGGACGAATCACATCCACACAATAATAACAGCATTATCCTCGGCAGCTAAAACGATCAGCTTTATCTTCCCGACAAGGAGACATTAACACCAGAGTCGATTAGAAATCTCTCAGTAATCCACTGTTTACTTCAGCATCTCAAACGCTCGTCTTCAGTTTGCTTACTCTGGAAATATTTGCAAACATGTGAAGGAATTGCTCATATTTTGGGTTGAAATTAATCTCTAATGGGACAAAAATAACATAAAAGGAATAAATCATCCAATAATAAAAAATCTGTCACAATTTACTCACCCTCATGTTGGTCCAAACTTTATTTCTTCTCTGGAACACAAACAGAGATGTTCATCAAAAAAAAAAAGAATTTTTTTAAATTATATATATATATATAATTTTTCATTTTAGAAATATTTAGAAATAAAATAAAAACTAACATGACAGTGGAGTTGTTTAATAAATATATTTAGAATAAAGAATAAATAGAATAGAATAAATAGAATAACTATATATTTTAAAATAAATACATTTAAATAACAATGAAAGTAGATGTTGGCTTTTATACTATATTGTTAAAATAAAAAATAAAATATAATTATTAGAAAAAATTCATCCAATAATTATAAATCTGTCATCACCACAAATGGAGATATTAATCAAAATGTCAAAATAAAAAAGAAAATCATAATTAATTTTTAATTTGATAAATATATTACATTTAGAAATAAAATGTAAAAAATGTAAATGAATACATATAAATGACAATGAAAGTGGATGGTGATTTTTACTGTCAAGCTCCAATATTACCATAAAAAGCACAATTAAAAACATTATAAAAATAATCAAATTAGTGCATATGATTTGTGCATTATATTACAAGTCTTCTGTAATTCCAAAGAAACAGTAATATATTGAATTAAACATGCAATTTTGTACAGTGTAAATTTACAGTGTAGTTCATGTTTGCTAATGCAATAATGTCATCAAATGTAAAGCATTACCATCAAATCAAACTTAAATATCAATATTACTATACTAATTACATTTTTTTTTATATATAGTAAATATTTTACATAACAGGTTTTACTCTAAAATTGGCATAAAATTAAAGCCTTATGTCGAAATAAGTTATGTTCCAAATTTGAAGTTGATATGAAAAAAAAAAATTATTTAGGGTGTTATACCACAAACAGCCACCGGGTGTCATCCAAACTACATTGATTTTTTTAAATGCATTTTTCTGTCACTAATGTCTAGATTTCTCTGTAAATATCACTAAATGTTACTCAAAATAACCACCAAATGTGGAATCCTGAGACCTTTCCAATAACATGTTTTTGTCAAGATTATAAAAAAACCGTAATGCATTTTGTAATGTGACACTTGACTCCGCCCACTAAAGGGGAGGAGACTGCCAAAAGATTTTAAAGTACCATTTCCATGGTAACGCAATGTCCGATGAATCTTGGGCTTCTGAGCTTTCAAATGATATATAATTTATGATGATTACTAAAAGATTTGATAGAGAAAAAGGACAACAACAAAAAAAGCGCCAAGCGTCCCACAGGAGGGGCGGTGACAGTTAAGGGGTTAAAAGACAATAATAATCCTTTAACAAGCTACTAAAACACAGAAAGCTTTGCAGGATTGTCGCTCCATTCATTTGAGACCAAAACATTTGCACCTGAAGCTTCAGAAGCCTCGAGACCCGAGACAAAGCCTCGAGCTGCAGGTTCATTAAAGCCGCTTTCATGCTCAGATTTTCTCTTTCTCTCTGAACTCACAGGAATTACAGGACGGCCGTCTGCATCTCTCCGGATATAACACCTGCGTGAAGGACACGGACCTGAGCCGGAAGAAGTTTGTGGACCGAGCGAAGAGGATCGACACCGTCTCGCGCGCCGCCTTCCCGCTGGCCTTCCTCATCTTCAACATCTTCTACTGGATCACCTACAAGATCATCCGACACGAGAAGCCCTGAACACTGTCCCGGCAGCATCTCCATATCTGACCAGCTTTTTATGGAAGACGCTGTTTTATACAATTGTCTTTTGGATCGTTTTTATCAATCGAGTCGTCCAGGTGATATTATTTCACCCACAATTCAATAGAAATATTATATATTATTAAAATGCTAAAAAAAAGTCGGTAAATATAATGTAATAAAATGTTTTATAATTAAATTAATTAAAAATATTTGAAAAATTCAATTTAAAAAATATTATGTTATTTTTAGAAATAAA